GAGCTGGGCACCCCGCTGGCACCACCGGGCACCTACACTGGCACCCGTGTCCTGCTGCCCCACGGCCTCCTCCACCACAGCACCACCAGCGAGCCCAGATGCCCACGGCCAAGCCGGGGCTGCCAGAACACCCAGGGGGGCAACTCAAAGGGCTGCCCCGGTGCCACTGCAGGCAAGCACGGCCACCAGCCCCAGAGGCTGCCAGAAGAGCCCAGCTTTAATATTCATGGCGGCGCTGGCAGGGAAGCGTTTGACCTTGTATGTTTTGCGATTCTCCTTGAATTGAACAGTCATTTACCCACTGACACATGTCACATGTCGCCGCAACTGGTTCCCTGGAGCATCGCGGCGGCGGCAGCCGAGTGCCGGCTGACATACCAAGCGCCGAGCCCCGAGCATCACCGACACCGGGCAGGCGTGAGGGCAGAGCCCAGCGGGCACTGGGGTGCCCATCCCTGGGGTTTTTCTCCCTCCCCAGCTGGTGGGTGCCAGTGGTGCCCCCATCCTCTCCTCGCCGCCCACGGCCCGTGTAATCCCGCTCTCCCTGCGGAGCTAATGCATTTGTACAGCAATTTCCCTGAGCAGCGGCGGTGATAAATTGCATGTCTGCTGCTATTTCGGACCTGAGTGCTGGAGCTGCGCAGTGCCAGGTCCCCCCTCCCCATTCTGACACCACCTAAATCAGCCCCCCTGACCCTGTATCAGGATCCCCTGTGACAGAGCCCCTGCTGCTGGGCAGCACCTACTCTGAACAACCCTAGGGTGCTCACGGCATGGGTGCCAGCTCCTCCCAGGGCTCTGCGCCCACTCTGGGGTCCTCCAGGACCCCACACAGCTCACCCCCCGGCACATCCAAGGGAGCAGAGGGGGCACCCAGCCTGCAGGGCACCCCTGGGTGCTGGGTCTGCCTTCCCTGTGCAGGGCAGGAGGCAGGCAGGGAGAGCAGAGCCACGCTGCCCTCCCAGCTCCCTTTCCCTCCGCCCGCTGCCGGCGACAGTAATTGAAATCTGGTTGTGGGAGGCAAGCGAGAGCTGCTCGTCGGGCTCTGTGTTGGGCTGCTCAGCCATGTCATCTTCCCCGCAGACACCATTCCCTCCCCGCGGGTGGGGAGTATGGAGCATCACTGCCTGCTCCTGCTGGAACCGGCATCCCAACTGCCCCCCACACCCACCTGTGTCCCCCCAGGATATCAATATGAGCATACCCTTGCCAGCAAACCCCAGGGCCTGCCCCATCACTGCCCCTCATGTAGGATGAGCCATCCAGCTCTGGAAGCCACCAAGGGCCATGTGTCCCTCACTGCTGCCATCCCCCAGGGCAGCTGAGGACCACCAGAGCCCCCCCTGCCCGGGCATTGCCCCCACTGCCAGCTGATCTGGCATTGCAAACACCTCACTCCATTTTCGCAGGGTCACAGCAGCGCTCTCACGGCTGATTAATATTTGATCCCTTCAGCACAGCTCGTTACTGCATTTAAATTATATATGTAATAACCCCTGCTGGCACGGCAAGCGCGTGGGCCGGCTCCTGCTGCTTCTCCCACAGGCAAGGGATCGAGCACATCCCCAACCCTGGCTGATGGGACCCTCCAAAAATTTGATGAGTGGCATTGGATCTCAGCACAGGGCAGGCCTGGGGGGAGCCAGGTAGATGGAGACATCCTCGGCTGCCTCCAACAGGGCCAGGTGACCCCTTTGCCCACCCAAGGTGGTGGGAGAGGAGCCAGTACCCCCGGCTGGCCCCGTGTCCCCCGCAGTCGGAGGAAAGGATGCTGCCGCTCCCGAGCTGCTGCCTGTGACTGGAGGGAATCCATTACCTCCCTGGTTATAGGCAGCTTTCAAAGGCAATCTTTCAATTGTGTGCATTTAAAGAATTGATTGGAGGCGAAATTATCCTCTCCCGCCGGAGCCGCCGGAGACACAACTTCATCCGCCTCCCCCAGGGCCTGCCTGTGCTCACGGGGGGCCCAGCAGCCCGGGGCCAGCCCTGGCCCCCACCCCAGCACAGGGCGAGACACAGCCCTGGTGAGCCTCGTGCCAGTCTGGGGGTCCCACCAGCAGCACGTGGAGGGTCCCCCCACCGCTCTGCACCACGCCTAGGGATGCCCTTGTCATGTCCTTGCCCAGGCTCCTTTGCACCCCATTTTCCCCTCCATGTTCCCGCTGCTCCAGATCTGCCTGGCGGTTGCACAAAGCCTGGGGCTGGCAGCCCTACCCGGCACAGCACCATGTGCCAAATCCATCCCCACCAGCTCTAACCCGCAGCCGGTCCTGCGGCCACCAGGCTCCCAGGGGGGTGATGGAGGAGACTGGCCCAGCCCGCCTCCCCGCGGGGCAGCCCTGTCCTCCCGCCCTCCGGCTTAAGAGCATTATCCAGATAATCCTGGCCTGGCAGCACGGCAGCGTGGCGGTGAAGAACTCCTCTGAGGCACGCAAGCGACTAGCGCACACACCGTTAATTACTGTACCAGACGCCTGTTTCCTTCCCCAGCCCCCTCCTCACGCCGAGACCCCCTCACCAGCACCCACATCCCCAGGGACATCATGTCCCCCAGACGCACCATCCCCGTGGGCACGGTGCACCCAGCTGAGGCTGGACGGCACAGCGCAGCTCACGGGGGCACCGCCAGGCCCCAAGCCCCCCGCCACAACCCACGCTGCTTCCCCGTCCCCTCAACCTGCCAGGACCCCAAATTACAAGGAGCTCCCTTCAGCATAACAAAGATGTCCCCCAAAACAAGCCAGGCCTGCCCTGGCTTTGGAGAGCTGGGGAGAGGGGGTGCCATGGGACAGGGTGGAGCTGTGCGCCCCAGCTGCACCAGCACTGTGGGGCCCAGACCCCACTTTCTGCTGGGGAAAACCCATGTGGGCACCGGAGGCTGGTGCTGCCCCACAGCTGGGACAGGCCTGCAGGCCACTGCGCAGGGTGGCAGGAGAGAGACAGGATCAGGCCCTGCATTGCTCCCACTCAAGGGGCATCACCCCAGCATGGGAGAGGGGTCTGAGACCCCCCCCATCCCCACGTCCCCCAGACCCATGTCATATCCCCACCATGCACCAGCCCATCAATGCCGAGTCAAGGCCACGGTGACACCGAGCGTGGTGACGCTGCACAGAAATCAGGGTGCTGGGCTGGGAGCCCTGTCTGGTGGGGGCAGGGAGCGGGTGGCTGAGCCCCATGGGCAGCTGCCAGCACGTTGGCGGGGGGCACAGGGTGGATGGGACCCTGTGGCTCTCAGCCCTGGGAAGAGCTCAGCACCTTCCAGGGCATCCCTACCTCTAACACTCTGGGAAATGCACATGCAGAGTTTAATTAACTTTATTGATATTCAGAAATTAGGGGACTGACTAGAGGTAATTGCTCATTAGAAATCATTAAACTGACATGGTAAGCACCAGCCTCTCTCAGGGGAAGCCTGCCCTGCCCAGGACCCCGCTCCCAAGACAGAGCCAGAAACAGGGACACCCCACACCCCCCCCAGCAGAGCAGGAGATGCGGGTGCCGTGCTCTTACCCCACTTGCTGCCCTGCAGAGGGTCCCCCACACTTGCCCCCCCTCAAGCACGAGGGCTGTGGCGGAGCGAGACAGGAATAGCAGCGGGCACAGGGCCACGACACCCTTCCCGGGCTGGGCTCGGCTGCCAGATGGGGAGTTTATGTAACTCCCTGCACGGCTGCTGCCTGCAGCTCAGCCGAGGCGTGCGGGCAGCCTGCGCCCCGCTGCCTGCATCCTGCCTGGGCTCCCCC